GCAAGATTTTCAGAGCAATGAGTCCTCTAAAATTCCCAAATAGCTTACTGTAATGGAGTAGCAAATTGCTTAGGGTGACTGAAGCAAGGATATCTGCATTACAAGAGTGACTTTCACTTCTACCTGTTACCCTTGCTTCCACTGCTTTTTCTGTTCCTTCAATGGCTGGCTCTACTATGTGATATAAGACAACAGCATATTGCTAGAGAAGCATACAGTGTTGGAAAGGAAGAGGGATATGCCTAGAGAAACATGTGCTGTCATTGAAAGCTATGTAGGATATCAATAAATGAATTAGAGCATGGAGGCATTGTACAACAGTGCAGTGGCTTGGAAGAGGACAAATGTAAGTGATTGCATGGAAGAATATCCCCTGAATGGCTAAGAGAGAACCAACAATATGAGCATAAATTGAGTAAGCAGATGATGTCAATCAGGGTCTGACAGTTAAGATGAGATTAGGATTTACTGTAACTTTATAATCAGTTTGCCACCCTTGTTACAAGTGACATCTGACACTAATTTGTCAATCTGTCAGCTAGGTCTGTGATCTGTGACAAGACAAAAGAATTGTCAGGTGGTAAAATCCGACCTTAAAAATCCGGAAACACCCAATATTAATGACCAGACATGATGCAGACCCAATCTGAGGAAAAATGAAATTGTCACCTTGGCTTGTGACCTGTGACAAATCATTGTATTTCTTCCCTGTCAGGGCTCTTGTGACATGTGACTGGTGAACTGATTATAAACTCATATTACATCATTAACATCATTAAAAATTGATGTGCAATCAAAAGCTGTGCTATTCCACATGACAGTGAAGTACGTGACTGATGCTGGTATAGAAAGTGATGGGAAATCAACATTCTTTTTCTGAACAATACCCTATGCTGATTTTCAATTCTGGCCAAGTGCCCCAGAATGTGCCAAAAATAGACAATTCTGAGTGTACTTCTGTTCAAGCTCAAACCATACAAGCAGCCTACAAAGTAATTGGAGCATTCACAATTTTTTTCTTTCCCGGCCTATGGCCGGCTGTGGGATCAAATACAGCATCTGTCTATGGGGATACACTGAATGCACCCTCAATGATCTTGTATACAAGCTGAAACATCCATACAGGCAGCCTGCAAGGGTAAACGGAGCATTCACAAATGCATGAGAACAGGATGGTCCAGACCACATCCAGTCCCTGTAGTGGTTGCAACCACCCACTCAAGCCAGCAAAGGGTGATTTTCTTTTCTGGCCTATGGCTGGCTGTGGGGCCAGATACAGCACCCTCCACTTGGTATGATCTTGATGTGCCCCCAGTGTACTTGTCTACAAGCTGAACAGCCTATACAAACAGCCCGCAAGGCTGATTGGAGCATTTGAGAAAAAAAAATTCCCTGGCCTACAGCCGGCCCTGGGGCTGGATACAGCATCCCCCTCTTGGGATGGGCTGGGTGCACCCCCATTGTACTCATCTACAAGCTGAACAGCCCATACAAGTAGCCCACAAGGCTAATTGGAGCAATCACAAATGCATGATCACAGGGTGGTTGCAACCATATGCAGTGAGGACCATCAATTGACCTGAGGTGGCTGCAACCAAAGGCCAACAAATGGTCAAGACCACCCTTTTCAACAGTCAAAATAGGGTGTGCTACTGATTTGGGATGGGTGGTTGTGCCCAAAGAGGTGGATGGTCTGAGACCACTGAGTGGTCTTGGACCCTCTGAAGGCTAAAAAATGACCACTTTTGGTACCCTATTAGGCTCAAAAACCATCTGACTATAGTGCACGTGTCATCTAGAGTCATATCGACTCGTCCCAAATAGACACAAACGGCCCCCTGTATCATATATAAGGAGGGCTCTATTACCCTTTAATACAAGTCTCTTGACTACTCCCGCATAGTGCCCACACTAAGCTCTCACTCACACAGGTGATGTGACAATCAACCCAAAAACAAAGTCGAAAAGAAAAGTGAATTCGAAGACTGGAGAATACAACCAAGTAGCTACAGTATTTATACCCAAATCCAGTCTGAGTCATATCTACAACTAATGAGTCATAGGGCTATGTACCGCATGGAACACTGGTCATGGGTTGTAGTAGAACCTTCCGGAGCATATGTCGCGCAGCCTTGAATCGATAAGGATAACCCCTGGAACCCCTAACCCGGACCGCCTGATGCCGTGATCCATGATAAGATAAGTCGTGCCAAGATAAGATGAGATCGTCAAAGATAAGATAAAAAGCGGCCAAATTATGACATTACCCCCTCTCTAGGGTCGATGTCCTCATCGACTAGGTCAATGGGCGTGAAGACGTTCCCGTAGGGATCAAAGAGTTGTTGCTGGGGGTATGGAAGGCGCTTGTCTTTGGGTTTGTAGTGATGGATGAGATAATCCCAGTGTCCGGCTTCGAGCGTTGGCAGGAGGCGAATGCGTGTGTCTGGGTTGGATTGTTTCCTCTGCCAATCTCTCAGGACCTTCTTTGCATGGGTAAGGTGACGTGATGGTTCCCAAGTATTTTCGCTATGCGGCCAGCCCTTCCATTTGACCAAGTACTGTTTTCCTCGGCCGACGTTTCGCTCTTTCACGATCTCTTCGACTTCCCACTCCTCTGCTCCTCCGATCATCTTGGCTACAGGCCTCTTCTCTCGGCAATGGGGGGGTGGTTCGTGATAGGGTGTCAATAGTGACTCGTTGAACACCGGGTGTCTTCGGTCCGTGTCCGGCAAATCCAGCTTCCATGCGGCCGCTCCGACCTTCTCCAGTATCTCGTATGGTCCTAATCTCTTGTCGCTCATCTTCTTTGATGGTCTATCCATCTCGATATTTTCCCCTTCTATGTACACCTTCATCCCAACCTTCAACTCCGGAACTTCTTTTCTTTGTTTATTGTAGTATTTTTTCATTTTTTCATTTGCTTTTTCCAATGCTGCTTTTGCTTCGTCTTGTATTTCTTTGATTCTTTTTACAAACTCTTCCGCCGACTCGTTCCTCGATTCCATCCGCTGCTCCACTCCCTTCCATGGGTGATATCCGTGATTCGCGTAGAATGGTGATATTTTGGTAGATGTGTTCAATTTATCGTTATATGCGAATTCTGCCATTCCCAGCCACTCCGACCAGTCCGTTTGATGGTAATTGACGTAGATGCGGAGATAATGCTCGATCTCCTGATTCATGCGTTCTGTCTGCCCATCCGTGATCGGGTGATATGCGGTCCCTGGATTCATTTCTATGCACAACATCCGATTCGTCTCCTTCATGAAGCCCTTGATGTATCGTGAGTCCCTATCGGTGATGATCTTGCGAGGGATTCCGTGATAGCGGTAGACTCGGTCCCTGGTTAACCGTGCCACTCCTTCGCTGCTGATGTCAGTACTAATTGGTTCGACATGGATCATTTTGGTGAAGGTGTCACACCACACATGAATTGCGTCATACCCGTTACTGACCAGCAAGGGTCCGATCTGATCCATGGAGATGATTTCCCATGGCGCGTTTGGAACTGCATGCGGGTGCAAACTCCCTGTCCTGGCTCTTCTGGTCTTGGTCCGCTGGCACGCCTCGCACGTCTGGATGTATTTCCGAATTTGGTTTCCCATCCTTGGCCACCAGTAGTTCCTTTCCACCATCTCCTGCGTTCGGTTGATCCCAGCGTGTCCGACCAAAGGGGTGTCGTGGTGTAGTCCGATGATCTTGTCCCGTAGCTCCTTGTCCCTTGGTACATAGAGCTTCCCATGATACGTGATAAGCCCCTCTTCCTTCTTCCATCCGATGAGTGACTTCTCTAAGGCTGCCTTGACGCTTCCATCAATTGATCGAATGGCCTTGATTTCATTGATTAGCTGCTGATCCTGTCCCTCGAATGTGACTTCTTGTGATCGGAAGAACTCGGGCTTCAGTAGCGTGACGTCCTTGTTGTTGTTCTTGCCCTGATCGTGATCTGCTCGTCGAGACAGGAGGTCCGCCTTGCGGTTGAGTGCGCCGGGTCGGTGTCGTAGGGTGAAATCAAACTCCGCCAATTCCGTGATCCATCGTGCTTGCCGTCGATTGAGCTTCTGCAGCTTCCGGAAGTACTCAAGATTCTGATGATCAGTGAAGATCTCGAACGTCTCCGTGGCTCCCAGTAGTAGCTGTCTCCATTTGTCCAATGATAGCATGATTGCAAGCATTTCCTTGTCGTAGATCTCGTAATTTCGCTCGGTTTCGGTCAGTGCGTGTGAAATAAATGTGATTGGGCGCCAAATGCTGTCTTGGTTTTGGCTCAAAACGGAGCCTGTTGCCCCTTCCGAAGCATCGGCTTCCAGACGATATTGGCCAGTGTCATTTGGCAGTGCTAGGACCGCATCCTCCGCGATTCTCTTCTTCAATCCATCAAATGCCGCACGCTCATCTGCACCCCATGACCATCCTGCCTTCCCTGTCAGCCGTGTCAATGGCTTGGCAACCTCCGCGTATCCCCGGACAAAGCGCCGATAGAAGTTTGTGAATCCGAGGAAAGCTTGGACCTGTTTGACACTCTTTGGTTCGGGCCATTCCATCACGCCCTTGATCTTGACTGGGTCCATCCGCATCGAATTGTGTCCAATAATTACACCCAAATATTCGATTTCCGTGCGTTCGAACTCGCACTTTTTGGGCTTCAGGTATAGCTTGTGTTTCTGGAGCAATTCGAGCACTCGTTTCGTGATCCGCCGATGTTCGTCCAAGTTTTCTGTGAAGATCAGTATATCGTCCAGATAGACTACCACGTGACCCTCGTTGATCAACTCTCGGAGTATGTCGTTCATCATGTTTTGGAACGTTGCCGGGGAATTTGTGAGACCAAAGAACATAACTAAGGGCTCGTACAGCCCTCGGTTCGTGTGGAATGCAGCCTTCCACTTGTCGCCCTCTTTGATCCGTACATTGTTATATCCCCATCAGATGTCGAGCTTGGTGAAGAACTTTGCGCCGCATAGATTATGGACTAGTTCGGAGATCAGCAGTAGCGGGTATCAATTCCGGATTGTCATCTCATTCAGCTTCCGATAATCTTGGACGGGGCGTAGAGAGCCATCCTTCTTCTTGACAAAGAAGAATGCTGATGCCATGGGTGATTTTGATGGCCTGATCCGTCCACTGGCCAGGTTCTCTTGTAAGAATTCGTCGAGTTTGACTTGTTCATTGTGTGATAACGGGTACACCTTGCAGTCCACTGCCTTGGAACCAGGTTTGAGCTCGATTGCGTGATCCCATGCCCGTCGGTCTGGTAGCGAGTCAAACGATTCCTTGGCGAATACTTTGACAAATTCCCGATATTGATCCGGAATCTTCCCCTCGGTCATCCTCTCCTTCTCTTTCTCTGCTTCTTCTGCGAATTTCTGCGCCGGCGTTTCCTTCAGCCGCAGATCCACTTCCTTCCCAAAATCGACCAACAGGATCGATTCTCCCTCTTCCAGATCCGGCATGCCCGTGTCCAGGTCAATTGCATCCATGTCAATCATTGCTTGATGTTCCTCGTGACCCCTCATGTGACACCGCTCTGGGCATCGGCTGAATCTCAGGGTCTGTTCCTGCCAATCCACCTTGGGGTTGTGTTCCGTCAGCCAATCAAGACCAATGAAGATCCGAGCTTTCCCTAAACACGTCAGAAGGAACGTGCGTGTCTCCACGTGAGGGCCAATTCTCATCCTTAGGTCAACGTAATGCGTGATCCGACTGCTGATGTTCTCGGTGTTGTCGGCGTTACGGGCCACAATAGGTTGTGGAAGCTCTTGAATATCCAACTTCTCCGCCCGTGCGTAGTTGGTATCGATGCAACAGGTACTGCAGCCGCTATCGAGCAGCGCCTTGACTCCGCGCATTTTCCCTGAGTCCAGACCCGTGATCTGGACATATACGTCCATCAAATGTCTCTTCCTTTCGGCCTGGTAGTCGCGCAATTCCTGCGCCAGTCTGCCGGGCTGTGGGCCCTTCTGTCTCTCAGCCGCCAATTTCCTTTGAACGGCATCTGGCACCCTCGTTCGTTTGGGTATTTCTGGAACCCTTATTTCGGCGGATTCCTTGGGCGCTTCCTCCTTTTTCAAGGATTGAGCCTCCGGAGCAATGCTCCCCTTTTCGGTCTTTGTTGACGTGGTTCCTTCTCCACGAGCCATAAATACGTAGGAGTCCAAAATTAATTTATCCGCAATTTTTTGATCCTTTTTACTCTGTAAATACTCTCTATTTAAAGCTATTTTCCTTTGTCGTTGTTTTTCCATATCAGCGACGAGAAAATCATGAATATTAGTACGTAGGGAGTCTGAGATCGTGTATGTATGAGGAGAATTGTTCATATCTTTAATTGAAACAAGTACAGAAAAACGTCCATAGTCCGGACGCTCCACCTCCTTGGCTAGAGGAGCGGAGCGTTTCAAAAACCCTTCTCGCGCAGCTTCTCGGCGATCTCCTTGAGGAACTCGTTGTCCTTGTCCCCGTTCTCGATCTCTTCAAGCATCGTGGCCCGATTGAAGAATGTGCGCTTCTTTCTTGGTTCCGGACAGTTCCGCGCAATGTGCCCAGGCTGCTGACAGTTGTAGCAGATGATATTGCGGCCGCGGGCGTGGGTACGATCGATTTCCATCGGAACCGGTTCGTTGGCAGCGGGTCGGGCCGGAGCGGGTGTGGGCGCCACTGGTGCCGCTTGGGGACGGAACTGGGGAGGTGGTCGTTGTGTGGGGTGCCCATACGACGCTTTGCGCAGCTGGTCACGCAGAGCATTGGCTTCGATGTTGATGCACCAGGCTTTGAACGCTCCATAGGCCTTGGGCAGAGGGACACCGGTGTTGTAGAGACGGCTGGCGATCTCGCTGCTGAGTCCGCGCTCCAGGAACTCGATGAGGATATTATCCTGGTCCCCCTTCTTGTATTCGCCTTTGTCGTCGGTGGTGTCGACCACATTGTAGCCTGCATCCGCGGCCAACATCTCGAAGTCGGAGATGTAGTCCGCGAAGGACCGTTTGTTTTGGCGCAGGGCCATAAGCCGAGCAGCGGCGACTTGTTCCGCATTGGAGTCCCCGAACGCCCTCTGAAGCTCCTCTAGGAAGTTCTTTGATGTGACTCCTGCCTTCAGTCCCTGGAAGCCATCGAAGTTGTGCTGCTTCCAGTTCATCGCCCATCTTGAGGCAGCGCAGCTCGTGCCGTTCTCGTTACGGAGGTAGGAGAGGACAAAGAGGATTTTGGTCTCATCCTGCGAGAACTCCGATCGATAGGCACCGATGTAAGTGGTGCACGCGTCCACAAAGCCCAGGTATTTGGACTTGTCGCCATCGAAGTAGGGGGGGTTGGCGGCGAGGGTGATGCGGTGATGTCCTGACATGGTAGGAGCAGGTTCGGTAGGTGGGGGCGAGGGTGGTTGTTTGGAGGGTAACTCGCCAAGGTCAGGGATCTCGTCTTCAGGCGGCGGGAGGGCGAGGTAGGGGTTGGAGGGCCCGGGTTTGTTTTGATGCGCCAGATCGGGCGACGATGGTATGATGGGGGGAGGGGATGGACTCCCAGATGACGATGGGAATCGGTACGAAATGGTGGATTCGTGTGCTGTACAAGCACTCGAGGAAAGGTTCTTTTGCTAGCAAAAAGATCCCGGGCCTAGCTCTTCACGTGCCCGATGATCCCGAGGTGCGTTTTCCCAAAGGTCTCCGCAGCACTCCTTGTAGCTACTGTAAGGCTTGGGTCGGGCTCAACGTTACCTGTGGCCTGGTGCTGTTTGCTCGATATGAACCTTTCACTGCGATCGCAGCGAGCGACTAGATGATTCGGTAAAAGGGTGAGTGGGGTGATAAGGGTGAAGAGGATATAGCGGGCGTAGCGGTGCACAGAGCAGGGTAGGAGGTAAGAGGTACAAGGGTATGAGGGGAGTCTTCGAATTATGTGACAATCAACCCAAAAACAAAGTCGAAAAGAAAAGTGAATTCGAAGACTGGAGAATACAACCAAGTAGCTACAGTATTTATACCCAAATCCAGTCTGAGTCATATCTACAACTAATGAGTCATAGGGCTATGTACCGCATGGAACACTGGTCATGGGTTGTAGTAGAACCTTCCGGAGCATATGTCGCGCAGCCTTGAATCGATAAGGATAACCCCTGGAACCCCTAACCCGGACCGCCTGATGCCGTGATCCATGATAAGATAAGTCGTGCCAAGATAAGATGAGATCGTCAAAGATAAGATAAAAAGCGGCCAAATCATGACAGGTGAGCTGCTAGACGCTCTCCCCAGTGCTCAACATCGATGAGGCCTTTATCGTAGCTCTCTGCCTTGGAGATATAGACACTCCAAAGCTTGTTCCCGCTGGCCCTCTCGCGCTCGAGACGCTCTTCTTCTGCCTTTCGTTTGTTGGCCTGTTCTTTCTCAGCTTGTGACATGGTCAAAGGCAAGAGGTGAAGTGCTTTGCCTTGTGTTTGCGCAGCGTTTCTCCATACACGCTACCTCACCAGCACAATGCCACGGCTCACACCGACTGGGGCACATCCCAGGACATGGTAGTTCATTGGCGCTTCCAGGAGATTGACGGATGGCATCAAGCCCTGGTGAGACAGAATCGGTCCCAGGAGGCGCACATGGGTCCATTAGTTGCCGTAGAATTTTGGTGAGTAGATGGGAAGTCCTGAAAAACAAACGAGACGTATAGTTTTGAAAGGGAGGGGCAGACCGGAATCGTTTATAGTACCTGGCCGCATTTGATATGATCTGATCGTCCGTGTTCTCACCGCTCTTCTCGAAGTCGCACTCCAGTCTGCCAGGGCCAATTCTGATCCATACTAATGGTGCTCCGAGTCTGATCTTCCTAACCTCGGCTGAGATGGCTCTCCCCGTAGTCCTCGATGCTTGCACTACAGCAACAACAGATAGACGTTCGTTCTTCACCATGGATGCAGGACACGCGAATTCTCAGAGAAAGCAGTTCCCATCGAACAGAAACAGTCTGCTCACAAACACCTTTTGCTTCGAGTAGATTAAAAGAAACACGTGCTGTCACACCATATCAAGCTAGTCACGGGTCTTGCATTCACTAAGGTATGCCGCATGAGGATCCAGGGACCCTTAGTAAGCAGTGCGTGACAGTCACGTGACGTTCAAATTCACAGTCCGAAAAACGTAGCCCTTCTTTTCGGTGTCATTATGGACATGTATGCACCCAATGTGATCCAAAATGGGTGTCCGAAGGATAATTGAATTTCTTTACGGCTACTATGACTATAGAAGGGGATCTCAACGCCGGCAGCACCGCCACTTCCTAATTGGGACGTCACGTGAATAGTCAAATCTTCCGACCCAAAATTTAAAGATGCTCAGTTCAGTTGGAAATCACTTTCTACAATAAAAGAAAACTTTTGATGCAGAATTCTTGAACCTCACATCACGCTCTCCAGGAGGCAAAATAAAAAATTCTACTCACATAGCAGGTGTGCTAAAGGCCTCCAGAAACACCCCATGTGAGTACTTTAGCTATATTCCCTCCGTGGCCGTCGTCATCTTCCGTCGCTGTTTGTCACAGTGTGACGCTTACAAAGGGTCCCTGGATCCTAATGCGGCATACCTTAAGCACCGCAGCAACAACGACATTCTGCATACCCGTTTTCTGGCGACGCGTCGGGAATCGACCGCGACTTTTTGATCGGCCGTCTCGCAAAATACGAGGAGAAATCGCGTCTGTGTGAGCTATACTTGGCGCAATCGACATGTGTTTCCGACGCTCTCATGTCAAGTCAGCTGGAAGACGAAATGCAGTCGCTGGGGCATCCTGATACGACAGGGGAATCGACACCAAGGGGAGCATTTCACCGCTCATTGGTACCGGACACGACCTCGCCCTCTCATCTACCTTATCCTGGTTTTGGTGGACTAGGTGCCGTGCGACCGCTATCCTCTGCAGCGGGCAATCTGAATGCGGCGGAAGCAGTCCTACATGGGGCTGCTGTGAGAGATCCGGAGTACTATCAAGCGCTTACCAGGGCATCGTTGACACTCCAGCCCATCTGGAGGACCCCCAAGCGTCGCACAAGTGCAGACGCTAGCCGCCGCGTTGATGGTGATATTCGAGGGCCTGTGTGCCCTCCACCACACCATCGAAAGCGCCTGGGACATCTTTCAGCTGTCTGGAAAACTGGTACAAAGGATTCATCGCACTCCAATTTCGGGCTCTGATTCTGCGGCATTAGATTGCCCTGCGTCTGTGGAATGCATCGTGTTTGGTCTCGGCTATTCTGATGCTCCTCTGCCCGTCACTGTCACAGATTGGGTCCCAAAGCACGCGAAGTCCAGAAACGGCGCGTTCTCTTCAGAGAGCTGCTAATCACCAATTGCTAGCAGGTGCGCAGGGGTTGCTTTCGTTTGCTTTTCGTCGGTGTTGATTCCAGCTCTCAGGCCATTGCGACGGGGTCGGCTACCGACATGTTCGCTGCCCTTCGTTCGCTGCATGTTCGTGTGGGACGTCGAGCAGTCAGAGGTCGAGGATGGTACCCCTCAATCTCCATGCACGTCACTCGAGATTAGATTCCATTCATGAGTATATAGGTGGATGTCGACAATACATCGACATTTCGGTGCGTACCCTCAGGCAACACTCATGTCGATCTCATCAAGACATCTAGCGTTTCCCTAGGCTCACCAATTCTGCTTCGTACCTGCCATCCCAAACCACTCGAAGGATTCTATCGCGTGCCCTTATGTGCCAGCTCAAACCCTCACAGATCATGTTGTCTTCTGTGAAGATGCCTCAACTGCGTAGTGGAGGAGTTTGTGCCGATCATCTAGCGGCTAAACAAACGGGCACTGTATCTGTTTAAAGAATCGTGCAACTGGATGTCTAACAACACCTTCGCGCCGTCCCAGCCTGGGCAGGACGAGCCGTTTATCTTTCGGCGGGAAGACGCACACAGTGACAACCAAATCCGAGCCGGCCAAAACATCATCCTCCTGGCGCGAACTCGACACGCTCGAGTTTCTCGTCCCGTCGCCGAACTCGCACAGCGCAACGCACATGCCGCGCCCGAACCTCGCGACGCTATCCTTCAGCCAGGCCCAGTTCTAGGAGGAACACTGGGCAATGCTGTGCAACCTCGTCGGGATGATCACTGACAAAGCCGAGGCTCGAGCAGACGCGTTGATCTCGTGTCTCGATTGACGCCTCCACGGACACAGGACACGTCCTGTCCAGCACACACCCGCACACGCCATTACATACACACAGCCAACTGCAGCCACAGCCGCAGCAATGACATCACCGGAAGAGCTTTCATCAAGACTACCGGCTACCTGAAGCATTCTGGCTCGCAATGGCACCGTCGAGGACGCGATGCGTGATCCAAGGCTGCAAGAGCATCGGCAGATGTATATGTTGCGGGTTGATTTGCCGAGCGTGATGCCCCGCGAAGAATTCTTACTGCTTTATCGTTTGCTTAAATCGCATCTATGTCATTTCAGGTAGCATGAAGCCTCGTTGCAGATATAAGGAATCTTATCTAATCTGGGAAGATCTGATGACACCGATCTCACTCGTGATTCACAGCACTTGACTCCGACCCCAATGTGGTCCGGGGATGTACACGAAAGACGAACGAGGTCCAGAATCTCGGCAACGCACAGATCATCCGTTTGGAGTATTAGCCGGAATGCATAGCAAAAGTGCCGCAGGGATAAGTCAGCTGCATCCCCATCGCTGTCTTCTAAACGGTGTATGGAATCGGTCGAACGCGCGCACTACGTACAGAACGCAAGCACTACATGCGAGGACTCGCTCCACTCCGTCACTCATCCCGCACCTGTCCCATGCCCTCGACCACGAGTCTCGCTGACGCGCTCTTTGCAGAGCCATCGGCCACGGCACGACTATCAGTGCCCCACACATAAGTACACGCGTATGTGATCGACCACCTGATTTCGTCTCTCCGCCTCGGTGCCCCCCACGTTCTCGACGTCGGCAGCGGTTCCGCCCGGTGCTGCGCCACTTGTTTACTCCCGGGCGGCCAAGTCGTAGGCGTTGATCACATTCCTGAGCTAGTTGACTTGTCGATCGTGAACTTGGGGAAAGATGCGGGATTGAGATGGTCGTCGGGATGGTCGGCTTGGTGAGTTGCTCCTTCGCGCGGATGCCGAATGGCTGATCCATTCAACTGCGGGGCAAGGATACCTTAGCGGCGGGCTGTATGATCCCATCCATGCTGGTGCTACTACACCCACGATTCCGCCGGCTCCGGTCGAGCAATTGGCTCATCCGGGGCACATGTTCATCCCTATTAGGACGGACGCTCAGCACATCGTGCATGTCGACAAGGACGCCGTGCATGGATGCGGCCTGTAGAATGTTGAGTCAAAAAGTTTCAGTGCCCTAGAGGACGTGGTCAACAGAGGTCTCACGCAGGGAAGGGGACTCTGAGGATCTCAGCTGTTCAATTATTGCACTAACTAGGTCACGCTCGGGTTGCTCGTTATACATACAGAATACACGGATGGTCGTAAGTAGTCGAGGTAAATGGAAAACAACTTTTTCTGCGATGGCGACTTCACTCCTCGTCACTATCGAGCGAGACAGAGGCGGCAAAAATGTTGTTGGGAGAGAGCCGCTTCTGAATCTGTCTCCGGATCTCTCGAGCATAGAACTTATATGATTGGTCCGGCTGCACCTCCGACACAGCCGTGTCCAGGGCGTGCAATGCATCCGCATCGTCGATCCACCCGTTGTCCTCATCAACGGCCCGGTAAAGCACCATTTCGAGTGCATTGCGGTCCACAAGACAGTCCTCTGGATATTTTCGGATGAATCCTGAGACGGCGTCGGCGAATCGACGTTGCAGTCCAGTCGGGATCACCGGAGACATGTACATGTCTGTGTGGCGTTCCAACAATTCGAGCGTCTCAAAGTCCAGGTCCCGTTCCGTTTGATCCGGACTGCGGGCGGCACACTGCTCAAAGAAAGTGGTCACCACACCCACAGATGCAAACCCGTGAACTTGCTGCGCCGATGCCCGCTCCATCCGTTCATCGTTTTCAAGGCCGAGCATGGAGCGGAACCAGTCCTTGTCGTCAAAGATACGCAGCAACTCCGCCGTTTTGGACAAATTCCCCATGAGCGCGACGCACTGGACGATGGCAACCAAACGGTGCGTGCGGATGTCGGCTGTTTTAGTCCGCAGGGTGCGAAGGACCAGAAGATGGGTATCCAAGTCACTTGGTGGCACATCAGACTCAAGCAAATTCCGATAAATCAGCTGGAGGGCATCGACACATTCCTGGTGATCTGATTGCCACTTCAAGTTGTCGCATAGCTTGTGACACAGGTATCGGGTGTAATGGTACTTCGAAGCGGGCTGTGAGTCGGAGTCTAGGTCGGAGGCGGCGAGAGACGGATGTCGGACAACGAACCGCCCAAGGCCCGGCAACGGCGACCAACTGGGATATTCTGATGTCTGGGCAAACGGGCTGATCATCTGGCGAGCAGCAAAGACGACGTTGTCCGCTGTCTCGTCCGACGCTGAGCGGATCAGATGTTCGAGAGCGTCTTGCAGAGTACAGTAGCCGTCCGTGAATCGCATTGTTGACCGATGAAAGAGCGAAACGGTCTGCTCTCGTTGGAAGCTGGCAGTGCATTGGGAAAGTGCCAACAGATAACTCGTGTACGTCCGATGCATGTCTGCATACGCCTCGGCAGGGAAATGATCATCGTCGGAGTCGCTTGGCTGTGTGAAGGCCCTGCTCAGACGGATCAAAGTGGGAACGTCAGGGATGATGCTCTGCACTTGATGTGTAGGGTGCCATTCCCGGCTCCGGTACGCGATCATGTTCAGACGGACCAGAGCTGACACGTCGGGGACCATGCTCTGCACGTCGGGAGAATCAATAAATTTCGAGCCGAGTAGCGCCTTATCCACGTTGGCTTCTCCAATCGGACTTGGCAGAGGCGACCCCGTGTGAAGAAAGAACGCGCATATGGCCCAGATGGCACGGAGCACAGAGAGCTGACGGCGGAGGCGGTCCTTGCGCTCGAGCAGATTGCTGTTGGAGCCAGCCATAAAATCTGCCAGACGCTGATCGAGATGTACTTCCGGATCCCGCAACAAAATCTTGAAATGCGCCTGATAGACGCCGCGAGGCTTGTTTTGATCGAAATCCCAGAGCGCCTCCGGGAGGCCTTCCACAAACAACAGCAACTTGTCATCATCAGATAGAGACTGTACGGTCCACGCAAGCGCCTCGATCTCTCTCGCGACATCGGGACGCAGCGCACCGCGTTTGGACTTGTGCATAAAGGGGTCATCTTCATTAGAGTCCAGAGTCTCGTTGGCCTCGGGGTCCATCACAGCAACTCTCTTTCGAGTATACAACATGCCGATGGTAGCCATCAGCTCGCTTCCCCAGTCTTGTTTCAGCAGCAAAAGCATTTGCGCTAGTGGTGTGTGGAATGGAAATGGAATGTTGGGATGGTACAGGGGGAGCACGGTGAACGCTCCATAGGCAAGGAAAAAGCCGAGGGGTACAGCGGAGCATGTGCCCATAATGATGCTGTTCACAGGCGCAAGAAATGGCACCAAACCCGCAAAGAATAGGACCAGTGCCTCCTGCAGGCAAAGGAGGGGAAGCCGGACAACGATGTGCATATTGAAGCGTCGGAAACCATAGTTCAGATACAGAGACGTGCGCGACCAGATGGAGGGAGAAGAGAGCATGACCACGCGGCGGGGGAACTCTTGCGCCCATTGTTTGATCAGGGTCGCGACGAATGCGCACAACAAGGTGAGCGTGAGGCTGATAAACCACAGTGCATTGCATACGAGGGAGGAGAGTGGGGGTGAGAAGGCAGAGGTTGGGGAGAGTGCCTCCATCACCACCGTGCCGTTGTTCTGGTTCACGGATGGGTGCAAGATCTGACTGAGCAGCGCGAGGGTCTGGTCGGCCGGATTGATATTCAATGTCTTGTAGCTTTCGATGATGAATATCGTGACGACGCCAGAGAAGATACCAGCCTGACGATTCAGGTCAGAGAATGACTGGTATGGGGGATGGAAAGGGACGCACAAACGTCAGCAGACCCTCCATCTCGCTGCGCCAGCCTTGGATGAGATCCTTTTCGTAGATCTGAGACTCGGAAACGTAGACGCTCCATAGCCTGTTGCCGCTGGCCCTCTCGCGCTTGTAATGTGCTTGTTTTGCCTTTCGTTGGTCGGCCTGTTCTTTCTCGGCTTGTGACATGGTCAAAGAGAAGAGGTGAAGTGTCTTGCCCCGTGTTTGAGCAGAGTTTCTTTATGCACGCTGCCTCATCAGGACGATGCCACGGTTCACAGCCCCTAAGCGCCCAGCGCCAGAGTGGCGGATTTAGACATAGGCGCTCAAGGGATCCCAAGAAAGCTTGGACGGCACAAAGATCGGCCGGTGGCGCGTCCCAGGGCATGGCAGTCCTTCGGCGCTTCTGGGAGATAATCAGGTTTCATCAAGCACGAGGAAGACGGCGTCAGTCCCAGGAGGTGTGCATGAGTCGTCGTAGAATATCAGTCAGCAGATGGGAGGTTGTTGAAATCCAACGAGAGGCATACTAGTTTCGAAAGGTAGAGAGTAGACTCCAATAGCCCCGTTGAACTTGGTCGCATGGGATGAATTGCGATCGTCCCATCTACCACAGCTCTTCTCAAAGTCGCACTATCATAGTCAATCCGATGTTTCGTCAAGCAGTCCAGAGCTCTGATCTTCCTACCCTCGGCCGAGATGGCCCTCCCCGTGGGTGCACGGCGCTAGCACGCTCTCCAGCAACGTCAGATAGAGTGCCGTTGTGCTCAATAGACGCAGTGTACGCCCAGCATCTGAGAATCATGCTGTCCGCATCGAAATGAAATCGGTTGTTCACAAAGACCTTTCATTCGAAATGGATAGGAAGAAACACGTGCTGTCACACCACGTCACTCAGGTTGCGAATCCCGAATGCGGTCGCACTGCTGCAGCAACAACATTCTGCATACTTACCGGTTCTCTGGCGACACGTCGGAATTTACTCGGACTTTGTGACAGGCCGTCCGCACCATACAAGGAGACGCACGTCTCTGCCACCCATCGTTGGAGTAAGCGCCGTGGTTCTCCGACGCTCTCACGTCAAGTCAGCTGGAAGACGAGTTGCAGGCATGCAGCCGCGGTGGCATCCTGAATCCTGATGCACCAGGGCAATCGAGACGAGGGGGGAGTTCGCCGCTCATTGGTTCCGCACCCGACCTCGCCTTTGATCTACCTTATTCTGGTTTCGGTGGGCCGGGTGCCGCGCTCTGCCGCGCGCAATCTGCATAAGGCGGAAGCAGTCCCACACTGGCAGGCGGGCGCTATGAGAGATGGGCAGTACTATTAGGCGCTCACTAGCCTATCTCTGACACTCGATCCAATCTCGGAGGGCCTCCATGCGTCTCAGAAGTGCAGAAGCTTGTGTTGATGATATTCAGGCGGCTGCGTGCTCTCCCGCACACCATCAAGTACACCTGGGCTGTCTTTGAGCTTCCTGCGAAACTGGCACAAAGCGTCGGTCGATTCATCATCCTTCAGCTTCGGGGTCTGATTCTGTGGCATTAAATTGGCCTGCGTCGGCGGGATGTATCGCGTTCGGTCCTGGCTAATCTGACGTTCCTCTTCCCAGACTTCCGATGTCCTGGATGGGGTTCCAAAGCGTGCGAGGTCCATCAACGGCGCGGTCTCGTCTTGGACCTGTTGTCACTCATTGTTGGTCCGTGGGCAGGCTTCCTTTCGTTTGCTCTTTGTCGGTGTTCATTCCGGCTCTCAGGTCATTGCGACGGGTCCCCTGCCAACATTCACGTTGCCCTTCTCTCACTGCGTGCTGTGGGACGTCGAGCAGTCAGAGGTCGAGAATGCATCCCTCACTCTTCATGCACGTCACTCGAGATGGGATTCCATTCGTGAGTATACAAGTGGATGCCGTCAATGTATCGACATTTCGGTGCGTTCCTTCAGGCAAAACCTATGTCTGTCTCATCAAGACATCCAGCGCCTCCCTAGGCTCACCAAGATCGTGGTGTCTCTTGTGATCATGCCCCAGCTCCAGAGCGGACAAGTTTGTACGAATCATCCAGCGGCTGAAAAAGGGACACTGCATCTGCTCGAAGAATCGCGCAACGGAACTCCACACAAATCCTTCGATCTGTCCCTGCCAGGCAAGACGAGCTTTTTATCTTTCAGAGGTGAGACGCATGCGCTGATGACCAAAACCGAGCTGGCCAAAGCACTGTCTGTCCGGCACTTGTCATCGGACGTGCTCCAGCAACCGTTCGAGCACGATCTGTCACTCGCTAGGGTGCATCCATGCGTGCTCAGCGAACTGGAAACATTCTACCGTAACATCGCGTGCCTGTTTCCCCCCGTGCGCAAACTCGTGTGCTTGGGCTCGCTGTCAGCGGAGGACGATTCTGAATTTGTCGTGCAACTGCCCGGCTCGGAAAGCGCGACGCGCATGCCATGGCCCAATTTCGAGACACTATTCTTTGGTGGGGCCCAGTTCCAGGAGGAGGAGCATCGGGGAATGCTATGCAGCCTCGGTGGCGGATCTTTCCCGACACAGCCACGACGCTCGTCGATTCGGATATCATTTCTTGCTCGACGACACCTCCCTCCACCCACGGACGACACTTCCTCTCCCACTTCCTGGCGCAGGTTTGCGTGCTCGAACTCGCCGTACATGGACGACGCACTCAAGTTACTCGTCCCGCCGCCCAACTCGGAGCGCGACGCAGATGCTATGCCCGAACCTCGAGACGCTGTCCTACAGCGAGGCCCCACTCCAGGAGTAACACATTTCTCGATTGACACCTCCACGGGCGAATAGAACGTCCTGTCCAACATACGTCCACACGCGGCGCTGCATACGCACACGGCCCCGTGATCAGATACGGCGCAGAAGCGACGCGGTGACACGTGATGCGGAGGGTCCGACCGGGGGATCGTCCTGGAGAATGGGATGATTAGCGCGGGGCTGAGGAGGTGGTCGCAGGCCTTGTCCACCAAGGGCGATTCATAACACTGCGGGACAAGGCTAACGCACTCCTCGTGTCCACGCGGAGGCATCTCGTGTCCACGCAGAGGCATCCGGCTTTGAGCTTGCGCACGCTGTTTCACACGGTGCAGTCGCTGGAGCAGGTGTGGCCGAGCGAGTGGAGCGAGGTGCTGTGTGCGATTGTGATTCGTGGATAGGGATTCGCGGTCGTTGAAAAGCTGTGGTGTGGGTTTGTGCGTCGGGCTCACGCTGTTGGGACTCTTCATCCGCAAGAGTTTACACTTACGTGGACCGTGTCGTGGCTCGGGTTTGGGAGGACTGAATGACAAATTATCTCAAGATTACCCTCGAACGACTTGAATCACCCCCCGAGTGCGACTCTGCAAGCGGTCCTTTCCCTCTCGAACCTCTGACGATGGGCGACGACGAGCTCTCTGGCACGTCAACGACGACGGCTGTGCCCCAGAACCCGATGAGCTTGGGATGAGGCGTCGATTTTCAATCCGCTGTTCCTCGACTTCCCATTGTCAAGCCCGAGCTCCAGAGCATACGGAACATTCAACGGCTCCCCAAATGGGCGCTACATCTTGATACATTGTGCAATGGGCTCCCGCACAACTTCTCCAGGCCGTCCCGGGCCAAAAACGACGAGCTGTCAAACTTCAGCAGGAAGACGCATACACCGACGATAAGAACCGAGGCGGCCGAAACGTCACCCTCCGGGCACCCGTTATCATATTCGCCTCAGCAGCGTTCCACGGTGAATTTGTTTCTTGACGGGGTGCACATCCGAGTCCGATCAGCTAGCTGGATGGATTCGATGTCATGCTCAATGCCCAGACTCGAGAACGGCACCTCACAAATCAGTACCAGCAGCAGTAGCAACAGTAGGAAGAGCACCAGCAGCCGCAGCTTTTCCTTCGGAATGAGGAAGGGATGCGTCAGAAACAGGTTCAGATACGGCAGAAGCAGCAAGAGCAGCAGCGACCGCGGCGGCTGGCCACATCCTCCTCGCCTACGTCCTCGTATCGCGCAGTGACCTGGCATGCCGGCCACGGGCATCCGCATCCTGGCACTATCCCTGAGACGGTGTGCATTGCCGCGTCGTCTTTGGCCACACACGATCAGACTTGGCCCGACGGGGCATTTCGGCTGCCGTTGCATCCCAGACGGCGTAGTGCGTGGGCTGGCCATGGAGGATCCGACGCTGCAAGAGCATTAGCAGATGAAGTCACGCGTATATTCATCATTGCCCGCTTGTTTGTTTTTGTCGCATCAGTCTATCATATGAAGTAACATATAGCATGAAATGTAAACTGATCGAACTGCAAGTAGGCCTCGCAGCATCTATTCACTTCATGAAAGATGAGACGAGCATGGTGTCGGGAATAAGTGGACTCGGAGTGGGGTCATGGAAGCCAGTGCAAGAAGGCCAGACGCGATCCCACCTCAGCCATTATGAGACGGAATGAGTTTGCAATACGAAAAGCGCTATGAGTTAGGATCTAACGTCTTGCATGCAGAGACGAGGGCGCCAACGCGCAAGGAATCCAGGCTGCGACGATGATGCGATGCCAGCCGTAATCCACAGCACTTGGAAGCGAGGCCCAGCATAGATAGCTTTGTGATCTTCGAGTAAGATAAACGAGGACCTCATTCAGACAGAATCCGTGAGCATTGATACGGCATGCGCAGATACAGATATAACAGGCCCAGAACCTGGCGGTGCCGGTATTGGGGAGAGACACTGCACCATCGCTTTCACAATCATGTGTCTGCACCGGTGTCTCAAAGCAGATGATCCTTTTCCAGAGCACACAGTGTATCTTGCGGGAAGGCAAGATTATTGACATGCCACAGCGACCATCCGTGCGCCGGCGCGGAATTGGCAGGCGCCTGTCGAAACACAAGATAGACCGCATTCGGTGTATCTGCGGCCGGGTTCGATCTGAAATGCACATGAGTTTTGGCCACCTCAGCCGACAGCGGCGTTGCCCAGATCGCAGAAGCTCCTGGTGCAGGTGAACATTGAAGCTGCATTCTCAGAAACGCCTCTGCCACATCCAGTTGTGAGGAGGTTAGATTTCCGTGTTTCAGCGAGGGGTGCTTGAGAACTCGATGGCTCGATTGCTGCGTGGCAGTGGAGCTCTAGGATTGCAACGCAGCCGCAGATGCGATGTCCGGCGACAAAAACACGCATGGCGAGTCGGGACCGGGGCCCCGCAGAACGAGCCATCATCATGATGGACTGCAGACTAAGCAGTGGCGGCGCCGATCCGCTCTGACAAGCGGGTCAGGTGACTGACACTGCCGTGAGTCGGGGCCGCCAGACTGTTGTTCTGTTGGAGTAGGGGTCACGTGCTCCCGGCGTAGACACACAAGAGTACATAGGGGGAGACAGACTTAGTCACAGCATTCTACGAAGAGCTACATCAGTAAAACTACACCTTGGTCCGGGGCATCCTCTGTCTTGAAAGATGGGTCTTGAATCTTGAGATGTGATCTTGAGTCTTGAAAACATGATCTTGAGTCTTGAAAACATGATCTGGGTCTTAGAGTGATTTGTCTTGGGAAAGTTACAAATTGGTCTTGGAACAGGTCTTTATTGGTGTTGTGGCGTAGTGGTATTTATTCTTCTCGGTCAGCCCATAAGGTACGCATCTCCTTTTGGTTCAATCCTTGTTGAGTGCAAAGATTTCTATGAGCAGTCGAGGGGCCTTTGCTCAGTGCCATTCAATTCTTTCTGGTTACATAGTTTGGGGAAAAGATTCAAAGTCCTGAGCCCAGGTAACAATAGATAACACAAACATTTTAAGCTACTTTTCAGTACTGCAGATTAGAACGCTATCTCATGTGAGTGATGGTCCGCATATTTGTTAATGTAAAAGGCTTTGAAATTATCTAGAGAGTCCGTGTGCTTAATACAATGCAGGAGAAACTCATTGCCAAAGATTGGTAAAAGGTGTGCAGAACGTGTCGCAGACAATACCGCGCAGTGGAGATACGACCAGTAGCGATCACCTATAAGACAGAGTCTCAGCGAGTGTAGAGACACAGGAGCTGTATCATTAGCTGTACCTATAAGACAGAGTCTATGGTACAAGTCATAAGTAAGGTCATTAGATCGTAAGGGAGAATGCATACCTCAGCGAGTGTAGAGACACAGGAGCTGAGGATATGGAGCGTATAGTACTAGGTTTATATACCAGTCTGGAGCAGATATCATGATGTCATAGTGGAGTAATGATATCATAGATGAGTAATGGATGACGCAATAATGAGGTCAGGTATGAGGTCATTGTGGAGCGAGCCAAAGTAATCTAAGAATACTACTTATGATGTCATGTCTACATACTGTGATAGTCGCTAATACAAACAAGCTTCAACACTCCCACTCGACTAAACAGTCGGATCACGAAGACCCAAAGACAGCCGATGTTGTTGGAACTTCACCCATGCCAGAGACTTTGTGAGCGTGTCGGAGATCATCGCATCAGTCGGCACATGGTAAAGTTGGACATTGCCAGCTTCGACGGATTCTCGTACGAAGTGATAGCGGATGTTGATGTGCTTCGTCCTCCTATCATGAACTGAATTTACTGCCATAAAGATAGCGCCTTGGTTATCAACACAAAGAGGCGTGGATGGCAAGTCATATCCGAGCTCAGTCAACAAAGTGCGGATCCAGGCAATCTGGCGCGTAGCATCGCTCAGAGCCATGTATTCGGCCTCTGTTGAGGACAAAGCGACCATGGGTTGGCGTCTAGAAACCCAGGTCACTGCACAACCGGCGATGAAGAAGGAATATCCCGTGGTGGAATGCCTGTCGTCTTTGTTCTCCGCCCAATCAGCATCGGAATAACCGATAAGGCCTGCGCCAGTGGAACCATCATAGCAAAGTTGGTAGTTTTTGGTGCCCTGAAGGTACCGGAGTATGTATTTTGCCATGTTCCAATGATGTTCTGACGGGTTGCTGTTGAACTTTGATAGACGGATGACTGCATAGGCAATGTCGGGGCGAGTACCAAGCATAGCGTATAGAAGGCTGCCAATCAGTTGCTGGTATCGGGTACGACGGTCTTCATCAACTTCTCCATCATGCTTCTCGAGCACGATGCCGGAAGGCAGGGGAGTACGAGCTTCTTTACACGAAGACATCCGGAAACGTTCTAGAACTCCTTCGATATAGGAAGCCTGATCGATCCAGATTTTATGCGCTTTGCGATCACGAACTATGTTCAGACCAAGGAAATCCTTCGCAGGACCGAGATCTGTCATTTTGAAGCGATTCGCGAGCAAGGATTTGATACGCGCTATCTCCGGCAGATTGTTGCCCATAATGAGCATATCGTCAACATACAGCACCAAGATGATGACCGTATCTCCCATTTGTTGGCGATATGTGTAGACACCGGCGTCGGAGTATGTCCGAGCAAAACCAAGTTCGAGGAGGGCATTGTGGATTTTGATATTCCACTGACGAGACGCCTGTTTCAACCCATAGAGTGATTTACGAAGGCGTGCCACCTTTTCTTTTGGCCATGACGAGAAACCTTTGGGTAATTCCGGAAGTTCCATATAGATTTCTTCCTCCAGATCCCCGTTTAGGAATGCCGTTTTGACATCCATGGCATGAATCTCCCAATCTTCAAGAGCAGCCAGAGCCATAAGTATGCGCAGAGATTCGTAGCGCAATACTGGCGAGAAGGTCTCATCATAGTCAAACCCATGAACCTGAGTGAATCCCTTGGCAACAAGTCGTGCTTTGAAACGACCGTCACGCTTCCTGCTAAACACCCATCTGCATTTGACAGTCTTTCGACCGCGTGGAAGGCTGGTCAAATCCCAAGTACAGTTTTCCTCGAGAGAGTCCAGTTCTTCGCGCATTGCGCGCTCCCACTTGAGTGCATCCGGGCTCTTTGCTACATCCCGCACGTTCTGAGGCAAGTCATGCTCAGCTTGGGCAGCTGATAACATGGACTCAATGCTGCTAGGCCTCTGATACGTAGTTCCATCCGGCATAATGCGGGGCTTATTCCGACGAGGGCGGCGATGGGCAATCGGGCGATCGTCTATCGGGCCAGGCATTAGGGGTACTTCTCGCGATCCCGTGACAGGACCTTGTTGCGCGAGGGGTGCCGGTGGCGGTGGGAGAGCAGGAGGTGGTATGCTTGCATAAGGCGTTGCAGGCGCAGGATTATTGATAAGATCAGGGAAGGTTTCCTTGAATGGTGTGAACGGCTCCGGTCCAGAGGACACATTGCCGGTGACTAGCTTGGACTTGGCAGGGAATACTCGCTCATCGAACTCAACATTTGAAGAGACTCGTATCTTGCGTTGATTCGGATCCCACACTTTCCAAGCTTTTGTCTCTCGTTCATATCCAACGAAGATGTGGTCGGGGCGTCCATGCTCCAACCCTTTCGGGCGTTTTTCAACATCCACATAGAGAGACGCCTTGCATCCAAACACACGGAAGTAAGAGACGTATGGCTTCTTTCCAAGCCACAGTTCCGCAGGTGTTCGCCATCCCAATCGTGCCATAGGTTGTCTATTATGAACGTGGACAGATGCATCCATAGCACATTGCCAGAAGCCTTTGGATAGGCCGGCATCGAGGCGCATGCATTCCGCTTTCTCGTAGGCTGTGCGATTCCAACGTTCAGACCTCCCATTTTGCTGTGGTTTGCGTGGCGCGGACTTAGGGTGCATAATACCACGTGCATTGAGCCAGGCTGTGAGTTCATCGGACATATATTCGCCTCCACGATCTGACCGGAAGGCCAGTACTTTTGTGCCAAGCTGACGCTCTGTAAGGGCAACAAAGTTTTTAATCGCAGTAGAGGCTTGGTCCTTTGATTTAATGAACACCATCATGCCAAAGCTCGAGAAATCGTCGTAGAACGAAATTGTGTAGCGTGAACCTTCCAACGACTGAGTAGGCCAGGGGCCCATCAAATCAGTGTGGATAAGCTCGAGGGGTTTGCTAGCACGTTTCTCTGATGCAGGGTATGGATGCTTGTGCTGTTTTCCAAGCATACATCCATCGCACATGCCGCGCTGGTCTTTATTGCGTCGCAAGGGGGGAACACCTTCAACTTGTGTCGGCAAGTGAGTAAGGGTCCTCTGAGCCGCATGACCAAAATGCTTATGCCACAATTCACGATCGGTAGTTTCCAGGGAAGCAAGCGCGGTAGACTCGTGAGATGCAGACACAGATGGTGCCACGAGCTCCTCGGGGTAGTACCAGTAGCAGCGATTGCTTACTTTAAAGGTCATCAAGACATCCCCATGCGCTTTTCCCTTGTTGAGCCAATCCTTGGTGACTAGGATTGCCTTGTTGTCACCAACCACGGTGTAGTAACCAGCCTGATCGAGCGCATACCCAGAAAGGTAACGCCCTCTTATGTGCGGGTTGTAGATGACATCCTTCAGCGTGAAGGTGTAGTCCATGCCACTACTAGTATGACCCCGCAACACAATATCTCCAACGGCTTCATTCTTGAAGCAAGCTCCCGACCCAACGATTACATAGGTGTCAATAGGTCTGATGTTGTGAAGATCGGATCGGGTGTTTGTCATATGATGCGTACAACCCGAGTCCCATAGAAAACGAATTTTGGAGTCGTCTCCCATTTCTTCAACAAAAATTCCATCATCGATGTGTTTGAGGGAGTCACTCATGAGATAGGACAAAATGTGCATTCCATTGGAGGCAGCTGCAACCGCGGGAGCGGCTACAACTTCTTTTACAGCGCTAGTACCATCACCGCTCTTCTTTTCCTTCTTCTTTTTCTTCTTCCCCTCATCCTGCTTCCCCTTGCCTTTGTCAGAAGATTGACCAGTCGGCTTGAGGTTGGGATACTTCTTGTAGCAGGATGCCGCAACGTGACCGGACTTGTTACAATGAGTGCAGCGGGTGGCAAGGGACGGAACGGTGGAAATCTTCGAGTTCGACGTCGTGTCGAGGTTCTCGATCTTGATATTCCCTATGACGCTGTTCTTGACATCGACTGGGTTCAGAGAAGCGATAGGACAATTGGCCAGGTAAGAGGTGACAAAACCTCTGCTGGAAGCGGGCAAAGCGGCGAGCATTAGAGTTGCGAAGAGGTAGTCAGGGATCTCGATTCCTCCTTCCGAACACTGGCGACGACGAGTCTCCATTTCCATGATTTGCTTTTCAATGGTATCACCACCGTGGAAGGTGGTGGTGTTCAGGAGGCGGTACTCGACGAAAGCATCGATGGCATTTGGTTGGCCATAATCCGTCGCCATCTTCGCAAAAACCTCGCGCGCAGTGCGCTCCCGCTGACCGTCCATAAAGATTCCCTTGCGCAGATTCTGGGTGATATAAACCCGCGCAAGACCCAGTGCCTTTTCATTGGCAACGTCCCATTGATACTGGCTGTCACCAGCCGTTCCAGGACGCTCCATAGAACCAGGGTTCGAGGTAGATGTGCCGTTAACCATAATATGAGTGGGTTTAACCACTCCCCAGGTGCCCTGATGCATGCAGATGCTCATGTAGTTGTCCGACCACGTATTCCAATTGGTGCCATCGAAGACACTCAGAATGGAGTTGTTGAGTTTCTCGATTCCCGACATGGTGGGGAGATACTCGATAACGTCGGCGGTTTGGTAATGAAGAGAGGGGAATTCGATATAGGGAGGATCACCGAATATGGAACGAAGTTCAGGAGTCCAATCGTCCTGATGGTGAAATAGATCTTCGTTGTCGTGTTCACCAAGTTCGTATAGGTCTTCCCAATCGGTGTCTTGAAGGGTAGTGTAAGAAGGTCCCTGAGCCCAACGGACAACAGGAAATAGGATAACCCCAACGGGAGGGTCGTCTGGTGATGACAGGGTGATAGAGATGGAGACTAGAGCGACGAAGTCAGCCCCAGATTCTCTGCAGACCAAGAAACAAATCCCAAGTGCCAAATCTCTGAAACAAGAACGACTAAGCGTCCCCATCCCATCCATGATGCCCATATACGCGCGGGGAATGATAACAAAATAAAGCGGTATAGTAAGTGCCCATATTTGTATCAAAGTAACGTAACTATATACGTCAGCGGCGGCAGTACCCAACGGTGATTACTGCCCTCGCAGTCCGTC